ACATGCTATACAGTCATTGAATTAATACCATGAGTACTTGTTGTTGTCTATATTTATTTAATTTTTAAGTACATAAATAAAAACTACTTTTACAAATAAAAAATTATTTAATAATCACAATAATTGCTTTTCTACCAAARACTCTCAAATACATAAGCATTTTAAGTCAATACTCAAGGCAAATTGGTGATGAAGAAATTGGCGGGCACAAAGGAATAGATTTTCGTGAAGCGATCCTTCAACACCAATTCCAGCGTTTGCTCTAATGTAGGCGCAAGAGTGCCATATAATTCACGCCAGTTTTGATTGAATAGATCATTGGCGGTGTCCTCAATATCGTGCTGGCCACCAAACAARTTCTTCACATCGATGTGGAAATCACCGATATTACGGATTTTCGCCTTAAGATCTAAGATTTCGGAGAAGACTAAATCACCTTCGTGGCGCACCCTGGTTTTCATGTTGAAAGACAAGACGATGTTCTCTGAAAAATATTAGTAAACATTTTATATTATTATATGCATTTTTAAATAAGATTTTAAAGCAAAATYATTCATTATCATAAGTGAAATGAAACTTACTTGCTATGAAGCTTGCTGTGCCCTGACCGTTGAGGTTCAGTCCCAAAACGGAGCCTTTAACCTTGTAATTGCCGGTAGCATGCAATTGTGGTATTTCAAGCTTGGCATACACATCTAAAGTACTTTTGTCGACACTATCAGTTTATGAAATTGAAAGAAAATTATCAGGTTTCAAAATATTCTTTTCGTTGATTTCAGTGCTTACGTTGCTTCCACCACCTTCGCGCCACTGGCACCGTCCACGAGCAAATTTTCTATGTCGGCATTGATTTGTAGTGCACCACTTTGATTTATCTTAAGGCGCTTAATCGATAGCGGTTCCAAAGGACCCAAAGACTTCAAGCCAGGAATGCCTTATAAGAAAAACTTGTTTAAATATATTGAGGTGTGATGAGAAAGTGAAAAAGCTCACCATCTTTCCATTCGCGAAATAATACTTGGAAATTCGACGCAAAGCACGTATTTAGGTTGTTGTCATTGAAATCACAGGGATTTAGAAAAGAAGCTAAAAATTTAAAAAAATAACAATGTTAATAATTTAAATAAAAAGAATTGCTTTTTATAACCACTTTGCATGTAATTTTAAAACTCCTCTACTTCTTTTTCTTGTTTAACGGAAGCTTACGTTTGTCGACCAAATGCTTGCCGATTGCCGCAAGCGATATATGTAGCGTTAGCGCCAACAGTAAGCTTAAACTGCACAATTTCGCACTCATTTTCGCACGTAACGGTAACTAATCACACGCCTGTTACTTTTTGATTAATTTTAACACTATGAAATTTCGAACGAAATTATTTAAATGCACAATTCTTCCAAGTATTGCGATTGCGCTGAGAAATATCCGTCGTGCTTGCCGTGCACAGTTATTCTAAATTGAAATTAGTGTCGACCTTTAACTTTTATATTTGTTACTAATTTATTTGAAAAAAAAATCTCGTACTTTTGTGCTACACATAAAGATTTCGATTCGCCGAACTGGTTTTTGGCAATTTTTAAATTTGCAGAAAATGTCATCTCATTATATATGCATATTGATATACTGGGTGACGCACCGTAGAAGCTTAATGAGTTGGTTTTTCTATTTCTTCTTTGCAAAAATGAAAAAATTTACTTAATAACGGTGTTTTTAATTATGTTTCATGGAAATAAATAAAACATTGAAATAAACCGGTTACTTTAGCAGCCAACTATGTAAACATTGATTTCAAAGAGTTATCAAGTTTTACTTTTTCACTTATTTACGTTAAGATCTTACTGTAAAGAATATTTTTTAAAAATAATAAAGGGATTTTCAATGATTAACGTTTGTTTTTCTTCATAATTGCGATGAATAAATGGCAACAATGGTTAGGCTAGGTTATGTTAGGGRGCCGATCCCAACACGGATCGCACTCGGACAGCTTAGAAAGCCGGTATGTTGTGGTACCTAAAGATTCTTATGTACATTATCATAAGACTCTAACAATTGAGAAAACGCCTTGAATCTATTACAGATTTACTGAAACRGTAAATGCCCCAGTTGCGTTTATGTCTTCTGGTTTGCCGAAGGTAAGACAGATGAGATGTTTCAGCATCGACCGTTCAAAGGCTGGACAAGGAAGCAGAAATTGCCTAGATGTTTCCACATCGCCCTCCTCCATAAAACTTTAACAACTAGCATTAGCCAAAATCCTTAGCCTTACCGCATGGGTGCTTATTGAAGCTGAACTTTACTCAAGTACTAGGTTGTTTTGCTCGATATTTTGCAACCTTTTGGAGCAGTTGGAAAAGAATCGTGAAAAAGACCCGGTTTGCAGAATGAAAAAATCCKTTTTCATYAGGACAATGCACCGTGTCATAAGATAATTTTGGCAAAGGCTAAAAACCATGAATTAAAGTTCGAATTGTTGGAACATCCACCGTAGTCACCATGGACAGATAAAGTTACAAACAGTGAAATTTTTAGAAGAGTGAACCGCAATAGAGAGTTGCTAAGGACTATAAAACAAAGAAAAGTAGCCAACCTAGGACATATTATGAGGCACTCAAGTATGAGCTCCAACAATTATTATCCAAAGATAAATTGGTGGAAAACGGGTATTGGACGTAAACAACATTCGACAATCAAACATTGGCAACTTTATAGATGTGGCGATAGATATGGAGATATATGCTGCGATAATTAAAAACCTGTGATTTTTTAATATAAAATAGATATATATAACATGTACGCATTCCATTACTATATTATTATTAATCTTATTAATATTGTACATATTATTAAATGTTATATGATCAAGAAAATTCGAGTACGAATTAGTAAATAAAGAAGAAGACTTCCATTTGTTTCCAGAACACAAAAAATGTATGTGTGGCAAGTGTTTTTCATCAAATGAAGAGGTTATAACGGCTGTTGAAGCGTATTTTGCAGACCTTTCGGATTCTCACTTCAAGGATGGGATCCACAGATTGGATGTATTAATGTTCAGGGAGATTATACTGAATAATAAAGTGTATTTTGAATCATAAAATAGTGTTAAATAATAATGTTAAATAAACTGGTAGTTCAGTAGATCGACTGCGTAAAGAAAGTGATTGCGCCTCTTCTCCAGCCACTTCTTCCATCCACATATCTCTCGTCCGTATTTGAGCAGAGAAGAAGCCGCCAGTGTCCGACGTGTCCTTGTTTGAAACTCTTCTTCTTGTTGAAACGGCATCAAGTAGTATTGTTAGTATTGTACGTAATGCTCCGGAGAAGCCGATGAGAGCCGCTCTTTGGGCACGCCTAATCTTTTTAGCAAGAGTTTACTTAGGTTGACGGCTAGGTTGCTTCTATTCTCCCAGTTGGGATAGGATATTTAAGATATTTAATTTAACCATAAGAACAACAGCGTTCACGGAAGCCAACCTTTGACAGCTCCTTTCCTCCAGCTCTTGAAGTAGGTCGTTAATCAYGACAATCCAAAAGAGTGGGAAAGCACCCCTTTACTTTAGATTTTGGGGCGTCTTAGCACTGCTTCAGTTCGATACGATAGTTCTGTCGCAAAGAATACCATATCTGATATGTTTATTGTTTGATTCTACCACAAATTTCTCTATTGACATTCTTAAATTCGGACTTGTATGTAGCCAGTCCTGCCTTATACAGCTCCCAATTTCTACAGGTTTTGTTGAAGAGTCTTCTACTCGAAGGTCTGATCTCCGTTGGTTCCGATGTCAAGCAAAAAAGTTTCCACCCGACAGTCGACAATAAAAACGATGAAATGCAACATGGAATAAATTAATAAGCGTTTTTTTTTTGCTGAAATACTAAAGAATACTTTGACAAGTTTTTCTTGTCGTGCTGTTATAATATATTAGTGTTATTTATTAAAAGTCAAGCAAATGCAATGTTATAAATATTATCAAAAAATTAATGCAATATTCGAATTAAATACAGAGTGTCCCAAAATCGACAGTTGACAGTTTAGGGTTAATAAAAATATGTCTTCGTTATTGAAAAATATTTCAAAAACAAAGAAAGCCTGGCGGTTTACTGGGGAGGTGTCTTCGGTAACATTTTTAATATAAAAAAAAAAAAATAACAAATTTTAATTAAAGCACTTTTTGTGACCGATAATCTTCTTTAATTCATATGCGCATATACATATATATAATATATGCGGTCCACAGTTCCATTAATTATCACAATATTTCCCACCCCAGAAGTCGCAATACACTTCCAAATATTTTCGTTCTTCCAACTCCAAAACCGTATTTCGCTTTCTTTATCCTATTACTCTGCAATCTCWTTCAAACAGATTAAATTTGCTCTCATCTGCAAAAATTACGTTGACGCTCTGAACACATAAGCGCGACAGACTGCAAACGATATCTGTAAAATATTAAAATACACACGTTCTTATGGACACAGTTATATAGTTGTGCAGCTGTCTAAATCTCCGTTATATTGTAAATAATATCTAATGTGACGAGATATGGGACTTCACCTAAAAGTGGGCGGTGCTACGCCCGTCGTCCTATTTATTTATGTACATATATGTACACTCTGTAGCAACACGCGGCAATCACTTTCAACATAACACTTACATTCTTAAATCTTCATCAAAAGTAAGCCTAATATGTTCCTTCGAAATCTGTAGAAAACTAAGCAAATCAACCTTGTTCATCGAAAATATTCATCGAAAGTATACAATGTATTTTCTAGTTTCCGTAGCTAACAGAYACTTTTGGATGTACATTTTTGTTCAATTTACGTCTGGCACAGGTCTCGGATATTATTTATCAAACTACTTTTTGGTTTCAGTGATATATTTGTAATAGTGTGTTTCCATTATTTTCATACAAAACACCAAAAATTGTGCATCTCAACGAATTTCAAAATTTCCGGTAATTGTGGAAGATATACGCGTGAAGAAGATTCAACTACAAAACATACGGATTCAACTAATGCATGGTTTATGGTTATAATGTGTTGGTAATATTTTCGATCATAGGTGATACTAATTTAAACGTTATGTGGAATTTTGAATGCCCATTATTCTATAAGAAGTTAAAAGTACAATACTTTGCCGTATTTTTAGAAAAATAATTTCTTTCTATATCTTAAAAATTTTCCACATRCATACAAATGAAAAAATAAATATGATTTCAAATGAAAATAAAGCGCTTGTTCASGTTTTATGAAGACAAAAACTCTCATTTCAGCGTGCGTTTGCAAAATAAAAACAAAGCACCTTGGTAAATAGCGAACACCCTAATGTACATATGTATGTGTTTTATTGTATTAAACAAGTTATTACTTAAAAGTTAACTGAAAAGTGTCAAAACAAAGTCGAAAACAAAGAGCATCATAAATAATGTGGGATGTAATTAAATAATATATTATATACTGCGAACTTTCTTGGTAAAGCTGTTAAGTATATTTTGCTTTCACTTACTTTTTTATGTATATTTTATGTACATATATTTGCATAATATTAAGAATGGATGTGCATTCGACCTTGACTCTAGTCTAGTTGGCGAAATAAGCGATGAAACAGAAAGTCCCCAATAAAATATGAATGATCAATGCAGTGCCGCTGGGATTATTGATAAAAACAGAAGCAAAGCAGAAACAAAAAAATAATATACGATTTAAAAACTTGATACTTCAACATTCGGAAAAAATTAAAGTCGAGCAGTAATTAATATGCACATAAATATTTCCAAAACTCCGCAGACAAAAGCAAATTCACATTAAATTCATGCAAACGAAACTGGCTTCGCTTTAGCAACGAATACGCTTCGAATATAATCTAAGAAACGATGCAGAAAATGAAAAAAAGTGATATGAATTTTATTTTTATTAAAAGCTTAATTAAATTTAAATGTTTTTTTTCTAATTTTCTTAAAAAGTAATCATAATAATTTTAATAATATTTTAGTATAAATATTAAATTGTTCATCAAAATTTGTTGTGTCGCCTTCAAAGTAATCTCCACAAGATGTTACGCACTTATACAAACAATTTTTCCAGCCCTCAAAATACTTTTCAAAGTGATTGTTGGGATGACTTTTAGATCCTTTAGCAAATTTTTTTTTATTTCTTCGATAGACTRAAAACGGGTTCCMCGCAGTGTCATTTTCAGTTTGTGGAACAAGAAAAAATCACGCGGAGACAAATTTGGTGAATCTGGTGGTTGGTCGATGGTATTTATTGYGTTTTTGGGTTTAAATATGGTTACAATCGTACTCTTTCTAAATAAAATTCATCTTTATAATCCTCTTTATAAATCGGTAGCTGATTCCGCACGGCTTCCATATAACTCCGCTGCGCTCGGCACATCCGATATGAAATAATTTGCTGGTATGAAATTTAAAACACTCTTAAATCGTGTCAATGCCACACCGTTTATGGCATTTTCCAACGTTGGCCGCAGTRCCTCGATTACGTCGCGCCACAGTTCATTGAGCAGTTCATTAATTGTGCCTTCCAGTTCCGTATTGCCGTCCAAGAAATTCTCCAAGTTCAAATGGAAATCGTCAATTTCGGCGATTTTGCTTCGCAACATGCGTGGGTCGGCAAAAGTTCGATTAYCATCGTCTTGCAGCTGCAGTGTAAAGAAAAACGCCAATTTCACAGCCACTATAACGAAGATGATGAAAAGCGGAGCACATCGGCAAAGGTGCGAGTCGCGCATGTGTTGAAGTAGATGTGTTTAAATTATAGAAGAGAGGAAGTGGTGTTGAGTAAAACTCATTAACTGCAATGTGCATTAAGTGCATACTTGCTTCCAGCGTTAATTTTCCACTGTTATTAATGGGCAGGAGACGCAGACGTCTGTGAGCGCGAAAGTCCGTGCTGATCTGCAGCTCAGGCAGTAATACGCGAGCACTGTGTTTAATAGTAATACACAAATATACAATGTATATGCAATACAGAAGGTGGTTTTTAATAAGAAAAGAATTTTTTGCAGAAATACGAACCGCAGTTTCGTAATATTTGCCGTGCTGATGCCATGAACTATAACATTATACAGCCGCAAACTTAGCTCGTCTTGTTCAATGCGTAAGCGACGTATGCGTATCGGTTCGAAGGTATCTGGCTCCCGCAGTCCGGGTATACCTGCGTTGGCCGAATATGCACTAGTTACTTAAATGAGTATAAACGGCGAGTATTGTTTAGTTGAGTACATACCATTTTTGTATTCAACGAGCAACGATTGCAGATTGCTTTTATAACAGTCTTCGTAGTCTGTCATATCGGCCGTACAGTGCTTGAAAAAGGATGCTGTAAAAATCGTAAAAGACATGGACATTGTCTTAAAATACTCATAATACATATTTTTATACATATATATATTGTTAATATAATTTGAATTTAAAATATAGTTCGTCTTTACGTTTTTCTTTCATAAAAACACGTTCAGCCAATATGGTTGCGAAAACACTTAGCCCGACTATAGAGAAACTCAGTAGCATCTTGAACACTTGCTCCACTTTCCACCAAAAGTTTTGGTTCAATAATAAGCAAAGTGCTTCTGAAGTTTTCCCTTTTATAACGAATTGCTTCTTGGGAAAACTGAATTGTCTTAATTTTAATAAGCCCTAGTTGATGACTTTTTAATCACACTAGCCAATTTAAGTAATAATTATTAGGCAGTATGAGATCTATTCATAAAATCATACTCTGAATATCTGAAACAAATTTGACTATTATGACAGTAAGAAAGGTATCAGTAATCGGCACTGTCTTGAAAAACTTAAGACCAATTAGATTGAAACATTCAAAGCTATTTTTTGGGTCCATTCGGGCAGCGTCAACAGTGCGTGATTATATTCTTTGGATTGGCAATAATAGACCCACTTTCAATTATTTGATTCTAAGTTCAGTCATGGCGTTAGTAAAACGTGTTTGCTCGTTTGCCGATGTAAGTTGGTGGCAAATAAAAGTTGCTCTATTTCGACAAATTTTTAAAGAAAGCACACAGAAACTTCAAATTTAATTGGGAATGTTTATTTTTGTTCCAAACACTCTTTAGCATTTATTTTTGGAAGATTATMTTTTTCAAATGTTGGCCGAGGCTATGYCTCAAATGGTTCATCCGTTGAGTCAAATGTTCGATGACTAGTTCCAGCATTTCCGCTGGCAGCTGATAAATGACCAACTTTATGCTTTGCTCCAAGACCAGAATTGAAGCAGTATTGTCCGCAGGACTTAAAAAAAAAACGGAATAAATGGATTTTTCGCCAAAATAAATTTATTTTATTATATTTAAAATAGTGTCCTTCTGCTTCAATACAGCTTTCACTACACATTACACGGTCCAAAGGCATGTCGAACGAGTGTTTTATCTCGTTGGCCGGCATGGCCGCCTRTATGCCGGTGCAAGCCCTTTGAATGGCCTCTACGTCTGCATAACGCTTTCCTTTTATGGGCAAATGCGGTTTTCTGAAAAGGAAGAAGTCGCACGGTGCCATATCAAGTGAATACGCGGAGTAGTTAATGGTTAAAATATAAGCAATTTTTGGTCGTCAGTCAATTTGTGCGGAACGAACCGCACACACACCTTTCGTAAGCCCAAATGTTTGGTCAAAGTGCGATAAATTGAGGTTTTGGAGATTCTTAATACCATTTGTGGGAAGTGGTAAGATGGTAGTTGTTTAAACTAAATGTCGAGGTCGCATGATCAATTTCTGGCTTCGATTAGACGGTTATCAGACGCAATGTTATGTTATGTCCTCACCGGCCACGTTTGAATATATATGTACCGGCCTACAAATCTCAACAAACCCTTGTTTTTTCTGGATGAAATGTCAGCCGAGTTGATGCGAACGGCGCCGAAGCGACTCTCCACGATTTTTGTGTACGCTCTCAGGTACGGCTGCTCTATTTTCTTCACTGTGTGCTGGTCTATTCGGTAGAATATTATCCAATAATTAATGCTGGGTCTCAAGATAGATGATGTCGCGTATAGTACGCTCAGTAGGCCGATTATGTCGGCCATAAGTTGAGAGAAGCGTGAGATAACATTCTTTATAGAAAGTGGATTTTCGTAATAAAGTTGAACGATTTGTAAGCGTTGCTCAGGCGTGAGTTTTTCCGTGATGAAATGTCAAACAATACTGAACAAAAGTAACATGACAGCATGAGCATGACGTTCTGTCAAAAAAAGGCTATTGAAAAAAGTACCTCAACTTGGATCACCTGTTAGCTTGGTTGCAGACGAAGTTAACGGATTTTTTGTTTATATTATTAATTAGTTATTCAAATTTGTTTACATTTGTATATGTCTACGTCACATAGAATTAATTTGTAGGATACTATAACGGGTAAATTTGAATTTGGCAGTTGAATAAATTAGCATAGTATTACTTGACTAAGCAAATATCATTAGTATGTGACGTGAGGTGGTGTAAAAAATATGAACAAGAAAGCAGATGAAATAAAAAGGAGAAGATGGAAATAGTGTGTATTTACTACTAAGGAATTTTCGAATAGTTTTGAAATATCTGGTTTACAAATCTTCTGAGCTTAGATTAGGTTGATAAATCCTCATCATTTTAAAGAAAAGCAAAACCATTACAGATGATATCCCGCTTATAATGATATGTCAACTTTACGGTAGCATTTTGGTAATACAATTGATCTTTTTGCTTCGTAAAAAGGATTGATCATTCCAGCAATACGATCTTAGAACAGAATAACACTTGCGTTAGTTAAAATGCGGTCACCAAGACACAATTGCTAGTTTTTTCGAAATAAAAAAAACGAAACATTTAAAATAACATTTAAAATAAATATCTTCRAGGGCGGAAATATGTGTGTTAGTTTCGCAGCAGACCGGAGCTCCATACTTGGAGAATACACACGACTCCTCCGGCAATATTAAAGAAAGAACTGGTGTTAAGCTAGTACATCAATTATTCAAAGAGTGATTTAGAAAGCTGAAAACATAAATTAAAATCCCGCCACTAAAAAAGTTACGAAATGATATTCGCCGAATACATATGACTTGGTCAAAGTATTGAAAATATGTATGTCGTCTTTTTTGAAAAAAAAAAAAAAAAAATTAATATCGAAGCTCTAACGGATTCTATTTTTATTTTCACGACTAGCTCAGGGTACTAATTGGTCGGGGTCGTAATGACTTAAGCAGTCTTATCCTATTGTCAAATACGAATTGCAACTTTTAATCCCAAAAATTAGAGCAAATGGACAACGGGTGATCCAAGTAGAGGTATTTTTTTCATTAGCCGTTTTTGACGCGTGTCGTCGTGTCAAGCTGAACAACAATACCATCACCCAACTTGAGCTGGGTCTCCTATATTGGATAATATTCGCCCAAAGGAAGCAGTGAAAAAAATATAGCTGCCGTAGTGAGTGAGTGTACACGAAAGCCCAGAGTTGATTCGGCGCCGTTTGCAGCAAACTGGAACTATAGAACGAATACCGCTTGTGGAAGAACTGAAACTGCTCGACCTGCCCAAACGACATCGTTTCGCTCTTGAAAAGTTTCAAGAAGATCCGACGTTCGCGAGCCAAATTTTGATCAGCCCATTCTGGCTCAATGAGTCGGTTAGGTTAGGTTAGATGGTTGATCAATGAGCGCGCGTGGCCTACTATATTTATCCTTTGTTGTAAATGGAAAAGAAGAACTCCTGTGTTCGAAATATAAATAAGTAAAACGCCTAGTACCCAATAGAAATTTACATTCCCGCCAGATCAGTGGGATATATAAGGTATGCGCACCCAAGTATTTAAGTCTTGACCTCCCAAATGCGAAGCAGTTAAGAAGGAATTGTTGAGCTGTTTTTATCTCATCTCCATATGTATAATATATCCATATATGTAGCTTCTGCAAGGGAGTGGTTTGTGCGCCGGTGGAATTATCGGTTCATATTTCTACAAAAATGATCCCGTTGTGAATGTAACTGTTAATGAAGACCGTTATCGCGCCATAGTAACAGACTATCTAATGTCTGAATTAATGTGAGAACATTTAAAGTATAACGTTTATGACCACGAGCAAAACATCACGCTTGTCATTTGCCAGGTAAAAGTCGCAATACTTAAACGAGTCATGGAAAATTGGACTCAACAGATGGACCATCTGAGACGTAGCCGATTCCAACATTTGAAAGAGATAATCTTAAATATGAAGTTTCTATGTTTTTTTTTTTTAATAAATAAACCTCAAAATGGATCCCCCTTAATTTGGAGAGGCTTTCTTGGAAGTTTCCAAGAACTTATTTTTCGGAGTACCATGCGCATTAGTTTTCTTGATCCACCCAAATATCCATGCTTGTACATAAATTCTGGTGGTTTCCTGTAATAGAAATGATAACAATTTTTCAGTCTGTCCTGTAAATCAGCAGAAAACTCCAGTTTGACTCAAGTGTCATAAAAAAATGAAACAAGTCGTGTATGAAATGAATACGTATTAAATTAAGGGGAGCAATTAGTTTTTTTGGACTGAGCGATGCTACTGCGCTTGCGTAACAAAGTTTTTCAATATGTTTCACACTTGTTCCTACACTAGTCGCAAAGACAAGAAAACATATAGAAATTAATTATATACTATTTATGTTGTTGGTCTGCTCGCTACTAGTTTTTTCCATGCATGTGTGTGTGCGACTCGATTTATTTATTTAGTGTGTTCSATATTTATAGTTGCTCCACAACTTCGTTAGTATTCAAAACAATAATTTTCGTATCGCAAAAGATAATACTTTTTAACTTAATGCATGAATTGTATGTTGCGAAGCTCAGTTGGTGGACAAACGTTCGCCTTCGCAGTGAGTTATGCAGCAGCTAAACAGATTCACTTTAAACGCACGCTTTGCCTTCAGCATTTTAGCTGTAATCGCTTGCAGTCAACTTGCAGCACTTGGCAGTGGCCATGAATACTTGAGAGAGAAACGTAAATATTTTGTTGTTGTTGTTTGAACAAAAACTTGTGCAGAACGCTTGAGAATGCTGAATTTTGCTTATCCAGAAAGTTTGATTTCATTTTGCAGCGTCATTCCTGCAGCCCTGCCATCTGCACGATTCAGACAATGGCAAATGTCTGGCGAATGTTTTCGAAAACTTTTTCACCGAGTGGCGTCATGGTAAGTGGTTGGCGAATAATGCTGTTATTTCAACGATTTCATATCTGCTGTTTGTAATTACATTTCAGGCGTGCCTGGCCTGAAAGGACTTAGTCCCATCGAGCCGTTTCATGTGAAGCGTGTACGCCTATCACAGCAGACCGAAAACTTGGCCGATATAAAAGCCGAACTGACGAATGTGGTGGCGCACGGCATGAGCGGCACGCGCGTACTGAAGACRGCGTAAGTTCCACTTTAAATTAGACTGAAAGCAAATTAATTTTATTTTACTGCTCCGTTAAAGTGTCAACGATAAAGACTACACAATTGAGTTCAAATTGAAAACGCCATCGGTGCATGTCGAAGGCGATTATCAGGTCAATGGACGCATATTGATTTTGAATTTGGATAGCGTTGGCAAGATGTCCTCCACTGTTGGTATGTGTTAGCTGAATTGCAAAATAAGTTTTAAAAAATTTTTTGCTCATATAATTTTGAATTTTGCTTTTAGAAAATCTSGAATATCGCATTTCTTGCAAAGCGAATCTCAAGCAAGTCGACGGTCAGTATTTCTTCGACTTAACTTCGGCTTCGTCGCGTATAGATAAGTTGGGTAATTTCAAAATACATTTTACGAATCTTTTCCATGGCAACAAGGATCTCGAGGAGAGCGCACACGATCTTTTCAATAATAATTGGCGTGAGATTTTCGAAATCATGCGACCTGCTTTTGCACAGACAATCAATACGATTRTACTGAACCGTTACAAGAAGATTTTGAGTTTTGTGCCTGCTAAYTATTTCCTCGATGATTTGCCTTGAGCATTTTAGTGCATAAGAATTTGCTAAATTTAAAAATTAGTTATGAATATTTATTTCCTTTTTTTTTGGTGAATATCATATTTTTTGTTGATATAATTTGAATATTGATATATATGTATGTACGAAATAAATATTCAATAATATTTAAATTATTTGTGTGTTATTAAGTTCGTTGTCAATATTTTGAAATTGYGTATGTTATTACATTAACCCATTAACAACGAAACCCCAAATTTCAAAGTAGAGATCTGAAATTTTCAGAATAGTCTATAAAAGGGATAAAAATTCAGTTGTAAAAATAAAAATGAAAAGTTTKCGCCTTGGTGGGTAAGATTTCAGAGTTTTTGGGTTTCCAAATAAACTATACGGTTTTGTTACACCCAGCGCACATTAGGGTAAAATGTGTCGATTTTGGAGATTAATTCAAAAATCAAATTTCAAGGTACAAGTAAATTTTCGGTATCAAACAAAAGGAGATAAAATTCTATATCACTAACTGAACAAATATTTGGCAAAAAATTTACAGTTTTCTTGTAATATTCTCTGAAACTTGCAAGTTTATTTCTTTTTGTATGCGCACAGTGATACACGYGATTTTTTTCATTTTTCGAAGTTTTTTATTTTCTTTAACTGAAAAAATCTTGAGAAAATTGTAATGGARCCTTCTTGTTCAGGTAATTTAGTAAATACAAAAAGATTTCATTTGTGTTTTTACGTGTCTCTAAGTATTTTAATTTTTTTTGGGCGAAAGCCTTAAAATATTGGGATTTCGACCTTATATGTAGACATATAGTTGTGAGTTAAGCGGG